AGGCAATCATCAGGTCATTTAGTTAGTGTCAGTTCTGGCAAGTTGGAGGGAAGGATAGTTTGGCAAGGGTTTGTATTTAGAGGTAAATAATATAATTTTTATTTTGATACCTGGGCCATCATTTTTTCTGATAATTTTGTTTTGAATAAAATTTTAGAGCGTATTACTTCATTTATACCTCTGAATTCTAGATGTCAATTGCATATTGAGTAAATGATTCAGGATTATATCTCTAGGTGAAATGCCAGCAAGAAAGCACTTGAAATCATATAGATGAAAAAGATTTTTTTCTCAGTGTGTTGCATCAATGGAGAGATACCAGCCCATGCAAAATATAAAAGGTAAATCTGCCTCCACACATCAAAAGCAGAGTTCAAAAGAAGATCGGCTATTTACTACTAACCCAAACGATGTAGCTGGCAAAAACAGATACACTTTCGATATGCAATGCGGAAGAAGAGATTGTGTTGCAGGTCTGCCTGCTTTGTTCCAACAACATCAATTGGACAAATTGATGTTCTCCATAGAGACCTTTCCTTATTTATGTCTTTAGACCATTGTGTTTCCAACAGCACTATGTCTGAGCTGCTCAGACATCCTTGTGGAAACCACAAGTCTATTCCCTGTCAATTGGCTGTTTCTCACCTCCAGAGTGTTACTAGCCATATGTTAGCCCCATGAGTATGATACTGTTGACCTTCCTTAATCTATTTCTGTGTTCAGAAATCTGGCCTCCACCTCATCCCCTAGGACTCAGTAGGTCCCAAGGAGCATAGTGTGTAGAAATGGTCATCCTAAGGATATCGCTCTATGGAGGAAGTGCAGTGCTTTAGAAGGAACTGAAATCAAAGACTGACATGTGTGGAGATATCAGCTTGGTTTCGTCTGTCTGGCTTTGTCTCAGGTCAGAACTGGCACACAATGCCTGTCTTTCCATGCTGAGCCATGTGAGCGAGCAGGAGGCCCTGATAAATCCTGCTCTTTGGTGTCCCTGGAGCCATCTCTTCTCTAGGCTGAACAGCCCCAACTCTTTCAGCCTGTCTTCATAGGAGAGCTGCTCCAGCCCTCTGACCATATTCGTGGCCTTCTCTGGACTAGCTCCAACAGGTCACTGTTCTTTTGTTGGGGTCCCCAGAGCTGGGCACAGCACTCCAGGTGGAGTCTCATAAGAGCTTCTTTTGATGCAGCCCAGGATGTCATTGGCCTTCTGAACTGCAAGCACACTTTGCCAGTTCACATTCAGTTTTTCAGCCAACAATACCCCCAAGTCCTTCTCCTCAGGGCTGCTCTCAATGCACTCACTGATACTGTATCCATGTTCAGGATTGCCCTTAGCCTTGTTTAATCTCATGAGGTTGCATCAAGCCTGTCCAGGTCTGTCTGGATGGCATTCCTTCCCTCCAGAGTGTCAGCTGCACCCAACAACTTGTTGGCATCAGCAAACTTGCCTAGGGTTCACTCAATCCCACTGTCCATATCACTGTCAAAGATGTTAAATAATACTAGTCCCACTACAGACACCTGAGGGACACCCACCACTTCTTACATGGTGGTCTCCACCAGACACCTGGTTTCTCCACACAGACATTGAGCTACACCCTATGAGTGCAACCATCCAGCCAATTTCTTATTCAGTGAGTCCAGCCATCAAATCCATGTCTTTCCACTTGAGATACAAAGATGTTTTGTGAGACAGTATCAAGTGTTTTCCACCAGTCCAGGTAGATTACGTTAGTCACCGTTCCCTCATCCACCACTGCTGTAACCCTGCTGTAGAAGGCCACCAAATTTTTCAAACATGATTTGCCTTTAGTGAAGCCGTGCTGGCTGTCCAACACAGTCCTAACTGTGGTCCACAACAATTCAGATGTACTGACATCAACTCTGCCAGATAGCTGACTATGTCTCCTTAGTCTGCAATGAAATCCCCTAATATTACCTAGTCACTACCAAGACTGGAAATGCTCAGGAGATCAGATTTCCTGTATCACTGTCATCTAGTTTAATAACCACTGCATTTTCTGAGCATAGGAAGATATCTTGATTTTGAGATCACAGTCTTAAGTATCTCTATAATGTCAATTTCCAAATTGCCAAATGCTTTCTGTTCTGTAAAACAGAAATACAGTCTCCTCCTCCAATAAGTGCTTGATAGTGACTCTGTCGGAGATCAAGGGAACTTCTCCAGGTTTTTCTCAAGCGTTACAAGATGCATCCAGTATGGCTTGGAAGGCCATGGTGTCTGCTACATTAACAAGATCTTCCAGTCTTCTTATTTACAGGAGATGAAATCCCTATTTGAAGACATGCCTTTTCGTGGCATTATTTTTTGTAGTTTAAACTCAGTAAATTCCTAAATTATGTGTTTAAACTCAGACTGAGTGGCTGCTTTGGGGAATGAACCCCAGTCCCATAGCTCTTAGCAACAGTTTAGACTTCTTAATCACTCCAGATGTTTTCAACATCAAATGGCTTCCTCCAGAAAATGTTTCTTTGCCTCAGACATCATCTTTCTGCTAGTGCTCATACAGTCACACCCAAGAGCCACAGTCTAAGCATTTTGTGTTATCTGCTCTTATTCACTACCACATCATAGAGTCACAAAATGGGTCAGGTTGGCAGGGTCCACAGTGGGTGATCTAATCCAACCTCCCTGCTTAAGCAGGGTCATCCTAGAACACATTACACAGGATTGCATCCAGATGGTTCTTGAGGTATCCCCAGTGAGGGAGACTCTACAACCTCTCTGGCCAATCTGTTCCAGTGTGTGATCACCTACACAGTCAAGAAGTTCTTCCTCATATTCAGGTGGAACTTCCTGTGCATCAGTTTTTGCCCATTGCTTCTTGTCCTATTGCTTGGCACCACTGAGAAGAGCCTGGCTCCATCCTTTTGACATCCTCCCTTCAAATACTGATATACATTGATAGGGTCCCCTCTCAGTCATCCCCTCTCCCTTTGAGAATAAGTTGACTTCACTCTTCAAAACATGTCCACATATATTTTAGCTCTCACCACAGTAGTCAAAGCTTCAAGTATAACTTGCTTCTCTGCTCCCCCTCAACAGGCTACATGAGTATCTCATTCTTGGGCCAGTTAATTCATGAAATGAAAAACAACCTATCTCTAATGAATGTGTTTTTTATGCAGCTTTCCTCATATCACTGAAAGGATATAAGGAAGTGCTTAGTCCCTCACTTAGACCTGAACTTGTTATCTAAGGCTCTTTGGGCTCTTCTGTGCTATAAATAAGGCTGTCTTTCCTGATAAATACCTCTTGTGCTAAGAAACTGGACTTTATGGCTGTTCTACTTAGAACAATGTTCTTGCAGGAGAGGGTGACCCTCCAAGCAGCTTAGGTTCTCACTTGTGTTGCAACCAAAACTCTTAACTAGGAAACCCACTTGCCTGTTTTTTTGGTTGGTTGTTCTTGCTTTTTTTCCTCCAAGCTGCTACCTCTGTCATTGAGGCTTTTTTTCACTACCAACGTCAAGAGGAATCTTTCTTTTTATACTGACAGCACCAAGTCCTGGAGACTCTTACCAAGTCTGATATTTTAGTTCTCTCAATGCACTGCCCATCCAAGTGAATATAGCCAGTTTCCATGCAGCTGCCAAGGTGGAAACAGATGACAGCATGCGCTGTCCCCTAGACCTTATGCAGAATAAATTGAATTACTGGGAGGTGTGTCTTTCCCTGACAGTTGCCCCAGTGATAGCCAGAGATTTTGGCAAACCTGTGCCTGATGTTACGCTGTACAGTTCAAGCATGCCATTAATATTCACTAGAGAGTTCTTGTACTTGCTGTTTTCATGAACATCTCCAAGACACACACAGGTAAATATGAACACGTACTAGTTGCTGTCTGGTGTTCCCATCCATGTGAATGTACATGGAGCTATGGCTTAAAGATGGCAAGAGAAGTTACCAGCAACTGGCTTCTTCAAGAAATGTAGTCTACATGTACACTCACTTCCCACCCTCCTTCCTCCTTGTCTCTACATCCTTTCAGAAACCCAGTGAGATTTGGACTGTGAGGCTGAGAGACAGCTGAAAAGACCATCAGGCTCTTTCCAGAGGTGCATGTGACTGCTGCAAGAGGAAAAGTTTTCTTGTGTGAATTCACACATGGAGTGTGCATATTGAAAAACTGGTTGCTGATATTGTTTTTTTATTTAACAATGAAAATATCATTCAAAAGGAAAAGTCAATTCTGTTCTTTTTTTTTTCCCTGCCTGTCCCTTGATTCAGTATAATTTCCATACTGCAGCACTCACTCTCTCTGTGTCGAAGACTTGGGGGTGGTGTGGTGTTGGTGAGTGTTATATAAAATCCCACAGAAACTTGCAAGAGCAATGTGGTCTCAGTTATGAAGAAAATTCTACTGTGAATATATCTTGGTAAGCATATTTCAGATGGGAGTACTATAAAAAGTGCATAAATTACTTGCTTGATATAGCATTTTCAGGACTATGTTATTAAGGAAGGTGAGACTGGGCATTCTACTGTATCCCTTACATCATTTAATGGTTTTATATTTGCCAATACAGTCGTCAATAAAATTTCATAGCACCATTTCTTTTTATCACTTGCAAGCTTATGGGGCTACTTGAGATTTTATTTTATTTTGTAAATCAAGGAGTATAATGAGATTTGTTTATAATAATATAAAAAGAGGCTGTCCTGTGGATTCCTCATTCTAAGAACAGCTCTTCCAGATCAAGCTTACTTCCTGATTCCACCAAACTGTGTAATTGCATCTGCTTAGGTTTGAAATAGGGAATTATATGGCAGAGCAGAAGTACTTGTGCAAAGCTTTAATAAGACAGCGCACCAAAGCAGTGATACCAGGCTGAATACCTATTACATTTGTCTTACTGTGCTAGGTGTTTCTTAGTGGTACGAGATTAAATATATAATTAATTTTGAATGAGTGTGTGTAGAAATAGTGCTGAGTTGTCAATGCTAACTCTGCAGATGTATCTTTTGTGTTGAATTAGGTGGAAACAGCAACTGACTCAGACACTGAAAGCAGAGGCCTACGGGAATACCACTCTGTTGGAATACAAGTGGAAGATGAAAAACGGTAATTCAAGCATGTAGAAAAATCTGTAGTCTTTTATAACACAACACACATTTGTAAACAGAGTTAATAACAAGCGTCTGGCAAGTGCTGCTCCTAAATAATTCACAAAGCCAAATTTATATGCATGCTTGTCATTTGGTAAAATTTGTAGAGATTACTTAGCAGTTGCTTCATATTTAACTAAATTTCCAGTTTTTAATTGGAAGGAAGGAAGTGAAAGTATTAAATTGAACTAGTGGCTTAATATAATTTCATTACTGGCAGAACAAATACGAGGAACTGTATATTGGAACAGTCTTCCTTCAATAGGACGACTCCTCATGCTGATCCAGGCTTTCCCCATCCACACAAGGAGATATACCGGTTAGGATGTAATCCATGATACCTTTTTCCTAAATTAGAATCAGTTTTTACACTTATTCAGTCCTCTAGTTTTGTAAAGATGCTGGCCCATCTACTAACCCACGGGTTATCCCTGGTAGGCACTGCATGTCAAGTGCTGGACTGAGACCATTATCTCATTTCACGGCAGCTGTCAGACAGTATCTGGTTGCTAATTGCGTTTTGCTGTCATTGACTAGAAGTAATTTGAGACAATAGGCTCAGATGTGAAAAGATTTCACAAATAATCTCTGCTTCTCTAACTTTTTAACACAAAGCTTTTCTAAAATGTCATTATTTGGTATCATATAAGAGTATGATACCAAATAGATATGATACCAAAGAAAATCAACCTTTAATGGGCACCCTATAAGCCAAAAAAAACCCCAACCCACAGTCTTAAACCTGCTGCTACTATTTTTCTTTTATTAGAGGATTCTCAAAAGTCCTAAGTTAGCAGATTTTCAGATTTTATCTAACTGAAATTCTTAACATTTGAAATTTTTTTAATATATGTACTTTACAGATATCTATCAGGAAGTTCTAGTTCTGCTAGTTATTTCCAGTTCATTTACTAATGATACATGTTATTTTGTAGTATGAGAATAAATCAATATTTACTTCCAGAGATAATTTGAATTATTTTCCTTTGTATCCTTGCTCAGATCAATGATGCCACTATGCATTTTGTTTTTCCTCTCTGTTGCTACTCACTGTCTTATTTCAGAGATATGCCTCTGTATTATCACATATGTTATCTATATGTCTTAATCTCTTTTCTTTCTTCCCTGTTCACCAAGGCACGGACGATTCAAGCGCTCAAACAGTGTAACAGCAGCTGTCCAGGCTGACCTGGAACTGGAGGGTTTTCCAGGACACATCACCATGGAAGACAAGGGACTTCAGTTTGGCTCGTCATTCCAGCAGCACTCAGAGCCCAGTACACCCACCCAGTATAGTGCAGTGAGAACTGTACGGACACAGGGACTGTTCAGTTACAGAGAAGATTATAGGACCCCAGTTGACACAACAAACCTTCCACCACCAGAACCCTGGCTGGAGCCAGCCATTGAGACAGTAGAGACTGGTCGAATGTCACCTTGTCGACGGGATGGATCTTGGTTTATGAAGTTACTACATACTGAAACTAAGAGAATGGAAGGATGGTGCAAAGAAATGGAAAGAGAAGCAGAAGAAAATGATCTTTCTGAAGAAAGTAAGAACAATTTTTTTATAGAAGTCTGCTAAAATAAGAAATATGTTAGGATAAAGCTGTGAGCTGTGGTTTTCCTTTACTCATACTGTAGGACCAAAGACTCTCTACAGAACCATAAGGTATAACACTATCCTGCAACTGACTGCACAAGACAGCATTTCCCAGAGTAAGGTTTTGTGGAAGTATTTAAAGACCCAACTTTAGAGTCAAGCGCAGGATCGAAGTCTGGTATTAGATACAGCTCAAATGCTGCAATAGCTCCATCCATAGCTCCAACTCTGACACATCCTTTACACTCACTTGTATGGCTCCAGTGCTTGACCCTTTACCAGAGCACACAGGGTGGTCCTATGTGAACCTTGGTTCACCCTTTTCCTGAAACCTGCAATTTTAACTCTTATTAATGAATAGTCATTTTAAAAATGTTTCTATTCCTTTACAGGCACTTCAGCCTGTTGGAAGAACAGAAAGCAGTAGGCAAGAACAATAGTTAAAGCACTTCTGCAGTTACACAGGCATATGCATTATTAGAAAATTCAGTTGTATTTTCTTATTATAATTTTGTCAAGAATCATTATTATTCTCCCGTGTCCCATAGACTCCTTGAAAGGAGTGATGGGTTAAAGTGAAAAATAATGTAGACTATTTTGGAACAAGATCCAAGCCAGCACTAATGATAGTAATATATCAAAGTGGTCCTAGCACTCAGTAGCCAACTCCCTGTGACTCCCTTTGAGGTCAATTATCCTTGTTCTTCAGGCTCAGTTTTATAAATATTTCAATCCCTGACAATCTGAATTATTGTCTCAGCTGAGCTTTTCTCAGATCGCAAATTAGTTCATATTAAGTTTTCTTACTAGCATCTTTCCCTGCCCTCCCTCCACGTACTCTTTCCTGGTCATCTTCTTTCCCCCTCAATGAGTTCTTGCTATGATCTACCCCCAAGTCTTGAGACAGGCCAGCATGGTGACTAAAAGGCCAAATTTTATTTCTTGTGCTGACCTTTTCAAAATAAATAATATCTATGTATTTACATCATCTTTTTTTTTATTTTACAGTCATATTTCTACACTATATTGTGTCCAAGTCTGCCAAGTAACAACATAGGATTTGGCGAGGGGTGGGGGGTGGGGTGTAAGACTGTTTTTCCTTCCTTCAGCCTCTGGTGCTTTCTGGACTGTAGGTTTTGTTCTTATTTTCATCATGGCAGAGCTGAGCTGAGAATTTTCCCCTTGCATTGATACTGTGAAGACTTTAATACCCTCCTAGGGTATTTGCAAAGTATAAATAATGAAATATTTTTATTTGATTAGCCCATGTGAGAATTTCCAAGCCTTCTTTCATAACAGTTATTTCTCACTACATTTTACCATGTCTTATTTTTCAATTCTCCAAATTTTCGCACTGCTGAATACTGACATTTCAATGCCATGTTGTAAGAATCCCTAAGCACCTGCTTCCCAGATCACCTGTTACTGATGTAGGGACATCAGTGCTTCTGATCTGAAGCAGAAGTTCAAAGAGCAAGATTTTGATCTCTTTGGAAAGAGTAAAATTATTTAGAGTGCAAAGGGGAGAAACACACAGGCAATTAGCCCCTCTCTTTCCTTAGGATGCCAGTGAGGCATCTGCAGGCAAGAGCGGGACTTCTCTTATCTCTTCTCTCTACAAGCTCTTCCTTGTGCACAGCCCTAGTCAAATCTGCAGCCATATGAAATGAACAGGGGAAATACACTCACATCAGTACTCCTCACTAGGAGACAGAGAGGCAGTTAGTGTTATTCCTTGGAATATGAAACTGTGTACTACATGAGGAAAACTTTGAGGAGCTGACTTTAGCTGAATACCTGTTCTCAGGTGCAGAACCACCCTCCTTCCCACCATGTGAAGTTATACTTTTTGACTCCAGAAATACTCTGAAACACCTTGTTGCATGGTGAATTGGCAATCAGGGAAGTAGTTTTCTGTAAATTGTACAAAGGACATGAAGACAAAATGGACTTCAGTAATTTTTATTAATATTTGGAGTTAGTGACACCCTTTTAACTTGGAATATTTCAGTCAGAAAACAAAATGTAATATCAGGATTTTGTTTCCCCATCTGTAGAGGAACTCTAATCTGTAAGAGAAAAAAGAGGGGAAAAAAAAGAAAAAGAGCAATTCCCTGGTAGAGAGTTGATAAAACACAACTGAAATGGACCTTTGAAATCCCTTTATCAAACTAACAAAAATGGGTTAATTACTTGCATTTGGGGGAACATTTTGGCCTCCCTAATAAAGAAGTTATTATCGAATAGGTCTATGTAGCATATCCAAAATGGAAGTTTGTGTTCAGCTGATTGTCAAAAGTAAACCCCAAAGTTCCAATTTTCCATTTTATGTGACTCATAATTTTCAAATTGTGTTATCTTTGAAATGGTATCCCTTCACCTAGCAATGCTTAGATCAAGTAAGAGGAAGTTTTCAAAGAATTAATTTCACCAAGAGAATGAGCTTCACAGCGTTTTAAAAATTCAGTGTGAATAATTTTTTTTCTGTTGAGTCTTTAGCACATTTTTTATCCCCAGTTTGAGCTACGGAGCTTATAAGGTATATATCCACAAGAACTTAAGTTTAATGATATCCCAGCATGAAATGGATCTGATTTTTTTAAATGTTTGTCAGTTCCTTGAAGAAAATACACAAAAATGACCAAGTCGAAAGCAAATAAATATGTTTTTTCATCTTCCAGCAGGAGCTACTATTCCCAAAACACTTCACAGCAAGGTTTGCACATTCAAACTGTCATTCTTAATGCTGAATAATTTCTTTTTAGCCTGAGTGTATTAATTGTACCTGAAGACCAAATATAGCTTTGCATCTCATGGGAGAAGGCTGTCCTTATGATACCACTTCTATTTCATTTTAAACACGGGAAGAGTTAAAATAGAACTGCATTTTAGAAAACAATTTCATTTTTGGCTTTAACACAATAGTTCCGAGATCACCGAGAGCTGTCTGATTGCTGTATTGATTTGTTCTTTCACTGTAGCTTTTGTCTTATAATGCTGTTTTAAGAACTTCACTCATCAGGTCCTAGAAAAAGAGAAAATAATCATTGCAGCAAAAATAACTTCTCTCTCTTTCTTTTCACAGAATTTTTTTGTTTGGTCAGTTGCCATGAATTATATTTTGAAGTCTCTGCAAAGTTCATATATTGTTTGTGGGGGCAATTATTTGTGTTCTAAGTGTTTAATATAACATAGATAGATAGATAGATAGGTGGGTAGATAGATAGATAGAGTACAGATGTAGATCTATAGATAAATATAGATAGATATGTGGCTGTAACTGTTCCCAGGGTTAATCTGATCATTTGCACTAGCAGGGTGCCTGCAAGCAATGATATGTGTTTCTCATGGGTGCTGACTGGAGTTTCAGTTTTACACCGTGAAAATTGTGTTTGGCTATTACTGGTGTGTAGGTGATGACAAGAAAAACACTCAACTGTCACAAAGCTCTTGAAGACCAAGAGGGTCAGGGCTCTGCCTCCAGTGATGGCAGCAGGGAGAGCAGCTCAGGGAGGGGGAGAGCAGCTCAGGGAGGGGGAGAGCAGCTCAGGGAGGGGGAGAGCAGGCCAGCCAGGGGGGAGCCACAGTCCCTGCCCACAGCTTGTGGGCAAGGTCTGGCAGAGGGAAGATGAATTCCTGGGCTTCTTAGTGCCACTTAGTGCTTGACCTCTGAAGTACTTCATTATGGAGAACAGCTGCACAGAGTTTACTCTCGCATAAAAACACTAATATAGGATCAAAAATTAACTACAGTATAGACTATGCCAGCAGAAAAGTTGTTTTGCTGGTATCTTCTGCACCATGGTTGGGAGCTCTGCTGGCATAGCTACATGGTAAAGTGATCTCTAACAGGGAAACAAATAAAGGTATTAGGGAGAGTGAGAGAGCAAAGTATCACCCTTCTCTCCCCTTTCCCTTCATTCCATGAATGGATGATGGATTTTTCCTTGCTAATCCTCTGGCTGATATTTCCACAGTACTACAAAGGCTTTACTTAATAAGGCTGAATAGTAAAAGAAAATACAGAGTTAAATCTCTCATAATTTGGGGAGGGGGGAGGAGAGGGGGAAATAAAAACCAACAAAAAACCCTCACAACCAATTTATTTTAGTATATTCATCAATTAATTATCCACAAAAGCTTTCTTAGGTGTTTGACCAAATATAGGTTATCCTTTAGTCAAAGAGAAATTACTGACATAATTTTCTAATGCTTTTCACAAACCTATCCTTCAGGAACTGCTGAAATTTACATTTGCAGTGTTGTGAATGACTAAAGAATGTCTTAATTGTCCTGAAACAGTCTGTAAAGTCCTATAGTGTGGAATCCAAGAATTCCTCCTATCATTTCTATTGTTCTGCTGAAATTTTCTCCTCTGTGAACTCAGCTTTGTTGAAGTAAATAGCAAATTTGCAGCAAGTCCTACTTGGTGCACAGGGATTTCATTGTCCTAACTAACATCCAGAGCACTGCCAGCTGGAGGTTGTGTTGTCCTAAAATGCCATCTGAACATTATATATTTATTTTTGTGCTGACATGCTCTGTTGATAGTGAAAAAGATATTTCTAAAGATTACTAAGTTAGGTTTAAAGATTAGACAAATGTCATGCCATACTTTGAGTCAGAAGGATGAACTAACTGCCAGTTCCAATTTTTTTTTCTAGGCATATTTTTCTTAGGTTGTTTGTGGAGCAATTTATTTACAAGTAGAGGGGGAAAAATGGAATGATCAAATGGAATGAAAATTTAAATTAAAACACATCATTTAAATAAACAGTAATGAATGCCAGAAGCAGATTGATTGTTACTAGTTTCTCACTGCCAGTGTAGCAGTGGCACAACTGAGCAAAGCTTTTAACCTGTCAAAAGTAGAGTTACAAAATCAGATTATAATCGGTTTCATCAATATAGACATGTACCCCCTTTACCTTTGTGATATGAAATCATTTTTGATTACAAGATTTTGTAGAATTTCTCAAGCAATTCCACACATATATAATACTAGCAATTTTGTAACATGATTACTTCAAGGGATAAGACACTATTGTGTTAATTGTGCAATTTACACAATCTCTAACCAAGATGTAAATCCTGAGTCTGTTTTTATTGAAGTCCCGGTCAGCATTTTGTGTACGTTCAGAGCAGAAGTCATACAGGACCATATAACAGAAATGGAGTGCTTCATACAGGCAGGGAGCAGAATGAAGGTTGAGTGACTCTTTCCTGACATTTGGGCAAATATAATATTATCTTAATGGTGGTAGGTATATGGATGATATAAAAATTATATCTATTTATGTGTGTTGGTAGATTTTATCATCATTTATTTACAAGAAAAATCTTCTAGGCACCACCAAACATCTCAATCTCTCCAGTCTCTAACATTCATCATTCTTTCATGGAGATAATCAATCTGCACTCATCAGAATAATTCCCCAATGCATGAAATTAATAACAAGGCTTTGGATGTCTATTAATATTGTGCTAAAGATTATGAGTTGAAGTGTTTTAATACTTTAATTTAATTACAGCAAAGTAGAGTAGCATGAATATTAGGGATTCTAACCTCCATGTTTTATTACGTCTGATTTACTTATTAAAATGGAAATAGAGTTAGATCTTTAGTAAATGCTAGGGCTGTAATTATACATGTGTATTCAGCACTGTGACTCAGTGACACATGCAACTAGCCCAGTCTTACATCCCTGCCAGATTTGTATCACACAAAAATTCTGCACTGGGCTATAAATCACTACTGCTTGTTGACATGATCTTTCAGGGTAATGAAGATAAAATAAATGCTTATTTAATATGGTGGTTGGGGTAACTTTGAGATTCACTAGAAAATATCAGACATATATAGATTATGTCAGGATCTACTTTTTACAGTAGGTCTACAACCAATGCCTCTTACTCAGGCTATGTGAGTAGAGTTCATAGCTATTTGAGCTATGAACCATAAAATTCAGCAGAGGAAACTAAAGCCGAACTGTATTCACTATGAGATAAGCACAACCATCAGCCTATGGAATCATCTTACTTTCTTTCTGCCCAGTGAACAGCTGAACATAGCATGAAATAGGCAATGTCAGGGACCTGCTACAGAACAGTTCCTCATCCTGGAAAAGAAGGAACTCTGACCCCATACTGGGAGTTTGTCTAATGCCCTGAGCTACAGAGTGCCAAGAGAAAAAAGGAGGATACAGGATGTTTGTCACAGAACTCATCACCTTTATTAAAAGTGCTGGGAACCAAATTAAAGCAATTTATTTCAGATTAAATGAAATATTACTTTTTTATTTAGTTTTTTGTATGTTTGTCCAGGTTTTAACATTCAAAACACTTTTTCTGTATGCCAATAATGCCTTACAGGAAAGTGAGGGGTTTGGTGATCGAAAAACCCAAACCAATTAAAATGCTTTATTTCATTTGGCTGACAAAACAAAAACAAACCCCAGTGAATTATTCATGAAGCCCTGAACCACTTAACCCTTTCATAATGGATGTCACACAGGACTGATGAATTCTGTATATTGCTGTTTAATTTAGTATTGTGGCACAGTTGTACTGTTTATCCAGCAGAAAATGGAATAGAGTTTGAGAACAACAGCTCTACACATTAACACATGCTTTGAAAGTTACTGAGTTTATAACTGGAGCCCAAAACTTTCAAATTGTCTCTTGCTGCTACTTGTGGGTGAGCAGATGTTTCACTGGTCTAGAGAAAGCAGAATTAAAATGTAAAATCTACTACCAAGATCCTGGTTTCACATGCCGTCCTGTACTTATTCTAAATAACAACAAAATGTTAAGCCCTACTGGAGTTTAATGTTTCCTATATCATGGGCTGCAGATCAGTTCTGCTGTACTATTGTGTCTTCATTCCACCCTCTCCATTCTGTTTGAATTATCAGTTTGGTTTCCCCAAATATAAGTAAAATACGTCAAAATAATTGCTGTCTACCCTTACTTCACCTCTCTATATCTTTAACATAAAAAGACTTGGAAATTCTCCAGCTAAAATCAGTCTTCCATTGAGACCACAGTTTAAAATGCTTTTTGAAGTGTTACATTTTCATCACAGAGATGGATGTGGAGGAAAGGAAGTGTAAGAAAGGATATGTAGAAAGGAGGTGTAGGAAAGGATATGTAGAAAGGAGGTGTAGGAAAGCATGGTGCTACCTACCGAAGTATGGTATATATCCCAGCAACTGTGGGAGTCAGGAGGATTTAGTTTCTTAGGAATAAGCCGGTACCCCTAGGCACTACAGTCAATAGAAAGACAGAGGCATCTCCAGGAAGAAATTCAGCTCATCTAAAAATAAGTGCCTAACATGGCTAAGCTGATGAGCTCAGATCACTGATTATAGAGTATTCAGAAATTTTAATTTAGACAGATGACTCTTGGAAACAAAGTCAAGTAAAATGAGTTTGGTCCCTTTCCCCAGTGCTTATGCACACTGTAAATGGACAGTGGGGAAATACCAACATATCCATGGGGGCTGATCCTGATTCAGCAAAGTCCTGGAGTATCTCCTTGTGTCCCACTTTTTCTGAAGCTCCTGTGCTGAGGACTTTGTGTATTTTCCTTGGTAGACAACCTGTAACTCCTAATGGGTTTAACAAGACATGTCTCAGAGATGTAATTCCTCTGAGGATCTCATCCTTATGGTAGGAGTATGTTATATTACAGTTTAATGTATTAACTTCAGAACAGACAGGATAAAGAGAGTTCACCTGGGGATCATCCACACAACTGAGTGAAATAATTTGAGATTGCAGAACCAGAGGATATTATGTAAGGTACATGTAAAGGTCCCTTTGACATCAAGATGCCACTGAGCTTTCTTATATCTCAGTCTTTTTAAAAAATATTTTATGTGTATAATCACAAGCAACAAACCCAAATATTTATTTCCCTTATAAAATAAACAGGAATTTCAGCTACATATTTTTAAGCTGGATTAGGCATTTACTGCCAAAACACATTTATTGGTAATAATCTGTCTGTGTGTTTAGTTCTAGGTAAGATCCGAAGTGCTGTTGGAAGTGCTCAGCTCCTCATGTCTCAGAAATTCCAGCAATTTTATTGGCTTTGTCAGCAAAATCTGGTAAGTCACTCTGCCTGGCTATTCTTCCAGAGTTTAAGGTTATTTGTCCACAGAATTTTAGAATTTATTATTTTTACTTCAAAAACAACAACAGTAGCATTCTGAAATGTTATTTTCATGTCCCACGGTTTGTCTTATTGCTCCCCTTCTTTAAACTTTATCCTTAGGTATGGTGCTAGCACATTTTTTTTCAAAGCAAATATGTAATTCCAGTAATTTCAGTCTGATTAGATTTTGTCTTTTCTCTTTTTGCTATCTTTATTAAAGAAAAGAAAATGAAAAGGGAACTAATGCAAGTTTTCTGAGACATAATATTATGGCTTATTTTTGTAATACCCTAATATAGCAACGATATTTCAGGTAAGAAAGGGGAAAATTTTCACATTACAGTAAGTGGAGAATAGTAAAATAGAATAGTGGAGAATACATGATCCAGCCTTCTACCTACCTGAAAACAGGACTGATCTTGGAAATGAGATATACATAATGTTCATAAAATTGGGTTGCATAATTTGCATTGCCAATTATATATAAGATGTCCTAGGGCTAAAGGAACAGATGCAGTATATTACTTATGAGAGTTACTGCTATTGTTCTTGAAGTTCATTAGAGACTAATTCAATTCTAAATGTTATCTTCATTAATATGACAGCAGCCATGAGTGATACAAACATTGAGGCAAGATGATACTAATCAATAGAAGAATGTAATTCTTCTAGCTACAGTTGGTGGTAGAACACCTTTCTTTGAGAACACTCAAATATCAAGTGTAACTTTCTCCTTTTGACTGTCCCCACACCTCATGTATTGAAAGCGCAGAATTCTATTGCGTGCATGACAGCAGACATGACCTATATGTCTAGTTAGATGCTTTTCTTTGCGTGTTGGCATTTGCCCCATTACTTTTAAGGCAGAACATCCGTTCTGCAAAGACCTACTTGCTACTTTCCATCCATAAAGTTAAACATTCAGAATTCCTGAAACTGAAATAAATATTACTGAAAAAGTCATGTCAAAAAGTCATACCTTCTGATAGAAAATAATAAGATATATGGTCCTCATTAGGAAAGAATCCAATTATGTACTTCAAAGACACTGTCAAAACAAGAATTTTAACAGCTGTTACAGAATGATGGAGGAAACATACAAAGTCAGGCAAGCAGATGACCACGTCTGTATTATCAAATACATCATGTGTGCTCTCTATCTAGTAATTTGTTTCATATAAAAAGGAAGAAATCATCACTGTCTAAAATTTTCTCACTGCAAATTTAAAAATGCCCTCCATTACCAGATTAAGCTATGCAAACTAAGATTTGGAGAGCCTAACCTCCACTCCACTTCATTTATCTTCAAGTGGGCCCAGCACTTGTGCTGAGAGCATTACTGTGATAGCAAATGCAATTCCTGCTCAGCACGGCTGTCAGCTATTTGGAAGTGAGAACAATTCATTACTGCAAAAGCAATAGGAGCACAAGGAGAAATCTACAGCTTTGCAGACAGCATGACCAGAAAGCTGGCAAGATTTTACATCTCTCTTTCTTATTTGGATAATAAACCTTTGAACTCCATAACAGCAACTTTATCCCACCCTGGAGATTTAGACTCTGAATATTCTTCAGTTTCATTAAACCAGTAATGGGCTCTGCAGAAAACAGCAACTGCAAGACTGGACTTTAGGTCATTCATGTTTGGAGGCTTTTCTTCCTATTCCTAATGATAGAGTTTGTTGCTAAATAGTCACTTAGTGTATACCCACAGCAGGCTTTCCATATGCTCCTAAGGCAGCATCGTGGTGCCCCACGGGACTGTTGCCAGCCAGTGAGTTCCTTTTCTTGAAAACATCCAACACGTACAGGGCTGCCACACAGTGGTTCCTATGACAGTGTTCAGCATCTATAAGCATAAATGTAGGACAAAGAACAACAGCATTTAATTCTGCCAATTCAAAAGGCAGCAACGGTTTAAGAAGAGAAATATACTCACTCAAACTGAAATTTAACCAGGAAACTCACCTATCTCCTGTGGACTTTTCTAAAGGGTCATGGGAACTTTAAGGGGCACATTTGATTACACTCTGGGTTAAGACCTCTTATCAAAGACCCTAATTGCAGGTAAATTTACAAAAATTTAAGCTTCGATGAAGTTTTTTTTTACAAATCTGGCTGGCTATCTGCTACATGTATACTGTCCCCACTACTTGGAAAAAAACCTATTACTGATTAATAACTACTCCCTTCTAGATTATTCACATTAGTTCTTGTAACTCCCAGTTTTTTTACCTTGAAGTGTCCTCCTGCATACTCTCTAGTCAGCATAGATCCTGCTCACCTAGTGAGATCCTTGCTCAGTATGTCGTGGTTGCAGACAAAAACAGAGCAGCTCAAGCACCAGCTAGGTACTGGTTGCTTGGTTTAGGATTCATTCAGAAGGAGGGTTGCAAAGCTGAATTCCAAGTACAATACAAATTAATGAGCAGCTTCTGAGAAGAAGCAGGTTTAAGCCAATATTTTCAAAACTTAGTTAGCTGTAATAGTATTCATTTGTGCCAGCATTTATTTGTGAACTGTGGATCTGTATGAAGCAGGAGGCAGCCCTCTTGTGTCCAGACTACACATGGCACAGCCCTCTGCAAAAGCCACACTGGAGGCCTGGTCTTAGCAAATACCATGAGCAGAGTGGGGAGCACAAAGGTACAGAACAGCAATTAGCTTTGATTCAGAAGGCAGTGGCCTTGCAATGGATGTCATCATTTTCTGGCTGTTTGTAGGAAACTGGGAAGAGGGACTGAGGAGACCAGGCTGGAGAGAACAGATTGCAAGATAAGATATACTGATGTGGGACCATCCTGACAAATTTCACACAAAGAGTTGGTTCTTAAAGCCTGAGATATTGACCTCTGTAGAGTAACTAACACCACTGACATAAATTTTAAACCATTTTTTAGTAAATTGGGATCTACCCAATGAAGTAGTTTTCAGTAAACACTTATCTGGAGTTGCAACCTTTCCCAGAAGTCTGGTATAATCTATATGGCCAGTTCTGTTAAATCCCTGAAGCTACCTATGAAAAATAGACTTTCTTCTAGTGAAGAAAACTTCTAAGTTGTTCTTTGCCCAGGTTCCAAAAGACGTCTAGGTGTGGGTAACACTACATGTTGTATTTAATATCTAAAATGCCTGTCTCCACTAGATTTGTAAAAGGTGGGGCACAGAGCCTTGCATCAGCAATAACAGCAGTGATACTAACACAGTAAACTAGTCATTACAGCTTTTGCCCAGGAATGGGGAGATCCAGAGTCCCCTTGGCCTGGTTTTGATTCCATCTCTTCAGCTCCATTCTTTAGACCATCTTAATGGCTTCTTCCTGCTCTGGAAGGAAAAGGGCATCTCTCCTCTACCTTCACAGACATATTTACCAATTAAACCCTATCTCATTAAACCAACAAAGCTATCTTCTAGTACCAATGCTCAGAAAGCACAGGGTTAAAAGTCTGCATACCACCTTGTACTGCAATTTTTATCCAGTAGCAGCAGCTAATTAATCAAATAGAGGGTCATCTTGCTAATTGTTATGACCAGTGTTTGCTCCATTAAGTCTTGTGCACACAGAGCCGCTTAATTGCAGTACCTGGTGGCAATGCCTTCCCAGTTCCTTTGTGTGATTCAACTCCCTGGAGAACAAAATCCTACTATCCCCATCAAAATTTCATACCTCATGTGTACATTTGAAAATGCAAGCCAATGTAAACACTGAGTTCAGCATAAGCTGACAAGTCTTTGTGATATCGTTTTGTCTTCTAATCAGCTATCGTGAATGCAATTTTTAAACAGAAAGACTTCAAGCTGCCTGGAATACAAACCACGTTCCCCTTCCCTTTAATAATCAGCAGGCAGAGGCTGTCAGCTTGTTCCGTTTTAGAAATGCAGGTCAGCACAGCATATGGTGTAAGGAACTTCCCATGCCACAAATTCAAGAAGGCTTGCATGTGACATCCAGCTCATTCATCTTTGGGTTGTGTAGGAGGCACAACTTTCCAGTCACAGCTCCCAGCTGTAAAGTGCAAAAGGCCTTAGCACTGAGCAGCGCTGCAGAAATGTAATCTGGCACGATGCCTTTCCTGCCTCAATGCACACTCTGTAAAGCCTCCTGTTCTATTCATATTCTCTCCTTTGCTCCTGACAGGACCCGAGTGCCATGCCGAGACCAACTTCCCAGGACCTAGCAGGTTTCTGGGACTTACTGCAGCTCTCAATTGAAGATGTCAGCATGAAGTTTGATGAACTGCACCAGTTGAAACTCAATGAATGGAAAATAATAGAATCACCTGAAAGGAAGGTAAGCAGACCATTTACTCCCCATTTGTAGTCCTGCAGTCTCCTTGCGTTAAATATAATAGTGAAACATGATAGGCTTCTAACCCTGGGAAGTACTTAATTGGCATGGCCCAATTTTTACATGGAAAATTCCATCAGATGTGAGGAGATTAGTCTTTTTAACAATGTTGAGCTGAATTGTATAAGAAATAAAATGGGGTTTGCTAAATTAGTTCACTCCATAACACTTTTGTTCAAAATATTTCGATTCACATTCTAAAGGCTAGAACTGAAATATGTTCTTATTAATTCAGACTGAAGACAATAGCCCAAGCATTCAAACAAAGTAAACTTGGCACTCTGCTACGTTTGGGGCAGCCCAGACCTGAGCACTTCAGTGTTTAACCCTGCCTGCATGACACAACTGATACTAGAACAGAAATGAGATGTAAGCATATGACAAAACATGGTGCAGGTCATATTAAAGCTCAGCCGACAAAAATTTGGGGAACAAAGAGTGCTATTGGCAAACTGCCCACATTTCTGCCTTGCAACTCCACCATCTGGGAGATGCCCCACTGTGATGCTTACAAAGCAAAGTTGGCAAATTGCCCACTAAAAGCAGTGTAATTCTGAAACTGCCTTTCCCCTCTCTAGAGCTCCATCCCTTACCCTGATTATCCCGCTATCCTTGCTGATTATTGTATCAGTCAGATGAAACCAGCATTTGGTTTGAGTCAGTACTGTTGGCCTCAGGTGAATACTTGTTTGGTTTGGGAGGAATTAGGAGGCATTTTGACAACTTTTTCATTTCTTCATGCTCCTCTTGGATTTTAATTTTCAGCCAACGGGTTGGTGGATGGTGAGTTTGCAACTCTTGCTTACTAGTGACAACTGGAAGTAAGAAATTATTGTAGTGACAGCAACAGTGATGTTCCTAAGAGGGAAATAACTAAAAGTGGAAAAAAAACAAAAGATGGAACAAGAGGAATGGAGCCCTTATGTTCCTGGCTGAAAACAGGAAATAGAGAAAATAAAGACTGGAAGAGCTGGCTATCATGGGGAATAGCATCTTAGGCTGCTGCACTGTTCCTGTTTAATATAGAACTATGTTTTTAAATGACTACTGCATTTTGGTAGTAGATTCAGTATTTTTTTTTTTTTTAAAGACCAAACAATGAAGAGTCTGTAAACCATAGGTGTATCAGTTCAATTTTCTTATTATTTGAATCCTGCTGTGCATCAAATTAACTGTGTTCTCCATAAGGAACAGCCCATACTCTGTACTACTACCATTACTTTAAGAAATTATATAGCAAAAAGATCAATCACAATAACCATAAATAAACATGGGAAGTTGGTGTAAGGAACTTCCCCATCTTTGGGGCTATGTAGTCCAGTATTAAATATGACATTAAAAACCTGTTTTAACTTCGAAGTTGCATCTAATTTCAAATGGGCTTTAAATAAGGATTGTATGAAATCACCTCCAGACGTCCGTCTCTTCTAATCTAAACTACTGTACAATTCCTTGATTCTACAGTATCTTTTTAAGGCCCTCATATGATATTTCACAGTCTCTAAATTGAGTAAAATATCCATTTCATACTTCAAAACAATTCTTGATTTAACTCCTGCAGAGAAATTTACAGATACTTTGGTAACAAAATCTACTGATTTTCACTTTATAATTTGATAATTCTTCAGAATAATTTTCTTTAAAATGGTCTAGGCTGACAAGCAGAATAATTAGCCCTATGTTCTCTCTCTAGTTGGAGCTTGAATGTTTCCATTTAGCAATCTATGGAGGAAACTAAACTAATAGACATAGACACACAGCTGCTATCTCATATCCAGCTGAGGCTAAACTCAGTATGATTAATTTCATCAAAAATCCTGTCCTGCTAATCTTAGAGAGTCTTTTCACTTGATCAGACCACACAGATGCGCTGAATTCTTATTGGAGAGCCAGTGTGTGTTTCTGTTTATAATGAGTGTAATAATGTGTCAGCTAAAATTAAACAAATCCGTATGAAAGTGAGGTATGCAGATTGCATGTGCCGATACCTGCAAGGACAGTACAAGGAAGCGCAGTCCTTTTTCAGGCACAGGACCGCAGAATGTGTAATGGTTGTCAAAAGGGGTTTTGTCAGTGTCCCTAGTGTGGATAGCTGTTCATGTAATCCATTAGTCAGCTGATGGGCAAGCACAAATTGAGCATGCTTGATGTATGTAATCAGTATTTTGCATTTCATGTCTTCGATGTGCATGCTCTGCTGACAAGTACCTTCTGCATACAGCTCACCCTTGGTTTTAATGCCCTATTGCAGGAAGAAAGAAAGATTCCTCCTCCTGTACCAAAGAAGCCCCCAAAAGGAAAATTCCCTATCACAAGAGAGAAATCTCTGGACCTACCCGACAGACAGCGACAAGAAGCTAGAAGACGGCTGATGGCTGCCAAGCGAGCAGCCTCTTTCCGGCAGAATTCAGCCACAGAACGTGCAGACAGCATCGAGATCTATATCCCAGAGGCTCAAACACGGCTTTAAAGACAGAATGCTGCAGAGTTCCTTTTTTTAAAAAAAAATGCTTGTACAGTTTGTCACTTACCTGGTAATTTTTGTCTCATTCTCTCCACTAAATATGCCCTTGCTGTTGTGTTCTTTGTGCCATAAGCACAGTGGAATGCTTTTGATTTCCTCAGAATTTGCTGAGCTCACCGCAAGAATGACTTCTTTTTGTATTGTCTGACTTACAATCAGCTACAATGGATAGGGCTTGTCAAGACCTGACTTATCCAATATATTCTCAGAGGACAACAAGAAACACCTCTTGAGATGGAACCCAGCTTACTTTTTTGTTATTTATATTTTTATAAAATGTGTGATAATTAGGGATAAGAATTACAAACTATAAATGGGTGCATCTCACCATTCACTAGAGGCATTAGCTAATCCAAGTAGAAGGTGCTACAAATGTAAAGAGCAGGAAAGAAAGAACCCATTTATCTCTTTGACCTCCAGTTTCTTTTCCTAGAACCCAGCTAACATATTTACCCATGTGCTCTGCCACTCTTTTCATCTTTGTTACTGCAAAATAACATTAGGCGTCTCATCTCATGTCAAGTTTCTGGAGATGAACAGGGATACCCAGCCACTAAAACTCCAAAGTTCATCAGAAACTAAGAAGCATACAAGTCTGGTGGTGGTGGGAATGTCCACTAAGAAACATTTGCTGTTAGCAGCATAACGACACTCTGAAACCTAAGCAAAATTGTAATGCAAGAGGACTTGAATGATGGGTGAAAGGAAAACAGAAGCCTTAAAAAGTTAGATCTTCTGTAGTAAGATGTGTAAAGAAAAAGTTATACTCGCTCCTTTGGAACACTCATTGCATTTTTAACAGTTCTTTTACATGTTAACATTTATTTTATAAACCTTCTCTCTTTCATTTCAAGAGCCGTGCTACATGTACTATTTAAAACTCTCAAATTGTTATAACAATTGAGTTTCCAGGGTATCCTTGAGAACAGAAAATCTTGCTTGTTTAAAATGCCAGTTGTGATGTTGTAAACAGTTTAAGAAATATGAATGTGAGTGGTAAGTATATATAAGTTTAAATGGTTATGTTAAGGTAAAGGTGAACTGTGGTTTACAGTTGTATTTTTTTTTTAGAACTATTTTTCTATGCAGTATCATTTATGGCAAGAATAAACTTCTTGCTTGCTTCAGACATAGAAAAAAAAAACATGACTCAAGAGATAAGCGATTTCCAGCCAGGAAATATAAGGAAAATAATATATTTTCAAGCCTCACATTGTCAGGAGAGAAGTGGCAACTTCCACAGCCAAGAGGCTTTAATTTAAAACTAATTAAGACAGAATTATTCCACTTCACCTACCTTCCAGAGCCAACTGAGCAATCCAGCACTTAAAAGTCTTCAGGTGAAGACGCAATAAGATGAGTAACCTGCAGCCCCCAGTTCCAAGGTTTGAATCCTACTGAACACAACTTTAGGTCAAAACAGTGTGAACCCAGTGAGACAAACAGCCCCAGCTACCACATTCCCTGTTTACCTGCTTTAACAAATGCAATGCATTTAGCCATAGGCAAAACAACTATTTAATTATACTTGAGCACTTTGGTTCTTCACCTGATGAGCACTTTAAATACGAATCCCACACACCTTGCAGCCTGATGGATGACTGAAAACATGAAGTATTGTAGGTTATGCAGATCTGACATTGCTTCAAATCTGTTTTCTTTTGTTTGCTTTTTTTCTTTTTCCTTCTCTTTTTCCTACAGTGTATGTTATTAAGCATGACTTCTGTCTTTGGAGCACAGATGATAAAGCATGCTTGGCTTCAAGATACGAATCTTTAGAGATGAAGTTTTGAGAAGTTTCTTTGAGAAGAAACCCCTGTAAATTGAGCCTGATATCTGGTGTATACTTTACCAAATAGCCTTAAATTATATTTGGAAGCAAAAACCAAGACGAATGTATATCCTTCAAGAATGCAAAAAAAAAAAAAAAAAAAAAAAAAAAAAAAAAAAAAAAAAAAAGAATAAATCCCTGAAATATTCTTCTATACATGAAAACATTATATTTCCCTTCCCTTGCATTTTCAAGGCATTTTCTATTATGGAAAGAGCTGAATCCTAGGTAGTGTACAATACTGATGCTACTTCCTGTAGTTGTTGTACTATTTTAAATACAAAAGTACATACAGACACTGGCATCTTCAGCCTTGAAAACTAGTATCCTAAAGTGGAGCTGCTAATTGGAAATATCACACAAAACCAAAGTCGGTGTCTTTCCTAGACTGAAGAAATTTAAAAGAGAAACACACACACCTGTACAACATATACATATATATGACAGCTGATATATTTTATCTAATTTTCCTGTACACTTTGAGGAGAAATCACATTTGCCTTACTCGCTTGAACCCTCTCACCTGCAGCAACAGGTCATGCGATTAAGACAAGCTGTACCTGATCCTGCTAGCAATCAGACTTTATGAAGATAAATTGTAAACCCAAGAGATTGCAGATAAGCTGAGATCCCAGCTGGCCTAATGATGCAGACTTGGAGCAGTCTGTGTTTTACATTTCCCATGCCTTTATGAGAAAATGTTCAATGGAAGATTTAGAAATCTATGACTGCTGTTTGTTAGACCTTGGTCAGAAAAAAATTATTAAAAAAAAAAACAGGAAAAAAAAACAACAAAAAACAGCGACCAGAAAGAATCAAAAGTAAACTAGATGCCTACTGAAAAATCTGATCATATGTTATCTGTGCACATTACATTTTGAAGTGCAATATATTAACTTATTGTTGTGGTAAAATTATATCATTTAAGGCAAATAAGCCATTTCTATTTACGTATTGTACATCTGGTTAGTTTAGAAAAATAACACTATGCTTATCATACTTGTGTTGCAAATGAATCAGTCAGATTGCTTCACTATATGACATGAGAAACACTGCATGTAGCATCATAATAAACATTTAACCAGAACGATTTTAATCTGATCCCACATCATAAAAGTAAAATTCAGTTGCAAAAACAACATAGGAGGAACATAAATAAACAGAAAGATAGGAACTGGAATACTTTCTGCTTTGAGTTCGTGGTGTAGACCCACACAGAACAGCTGGATACAGCAAAATAGTCTAGTGTTTAATTAAATATTAATTGGACTAATATTTATTTTAACCCATTAAAATTATAGAATGTCCCTGTTCATTTAGTCATTGCCTGTAAAACACAAGTATAATAAACAAAATTCAGAAAATTTAAATAAAGAAAAAGTTCTGACTGGTAAAATTGTTGATATTTGCCATACTTATTTTTGCTTTGTATATCTTTTTAGATTTTAAATTCTTTGTAATTTGGTGAAGTACATTATGAAGTATTTTATTATTTTATGTCAACCTGATTAGAATGGCCTTTGGCAGAATGCTAAGACTAAAAATGTTGTACAGTTTAATACCAAAAAATGATATTTTAATTCATACTTAAACCTTGACACTATGTTAGATTTGAGATCAATCAGGAAGGAATTAAAGTGTGCATAGGAAAGTGTGTGGATTTCATATATATGGATAGATAAACATAAGATACATTTCATATAATGGAAATTATTTGTTTCGAAATAACCCCATGTCCTGCTGTATCAGTAAATTAGTACTCTACTTCAGCACTCCATCTAGTATAAAGTGAAGGACTGTTTGGTCATTGGGAGGTTTTGCTAGGAAAAGGAGTAACTGCTACATGATGGTGCCACATGTGATGTGCCCTACGTGACCCGCAGTCTCCTCGTGCCCTGCAGGAGCAGTGCCCTTGAGAGGCTCCTGGTCCCATGGCACCTCAGGCAACACTGCCACTCTGTCCCAGGCCCTCTCCATGCAAGTCCCCCCTGGCCCCCTCTCCTAGAGCAATGTGCCTCCAGATCAGCCCAGCTCAGCCTTTTGCGTTCAAAGCCTTGAGCCTGCCCTGTGCAGTCGGTGGGTTTGATGTCCTCCTCAGCATTTCGGCAATGGCACCGGGGGCAGGGGGCACACTGGGGGCTCACCCATCAAGGGTTGGTTTGTGCTTTCAATTTTAGCTCTGAACCTGGTTTGGCAGCTCCAGGTGTCAAGCTGTGAAACAGAAGCCTCAGCATTAGAGACATAATTGTGAAGCAATGTTATTCCCATTACTGTTCCTAGAGCATCTTATGATGTAGGGATAACACCCACATTTGAGGTGAGGAATATCAGCACATGTGTCTAGAGAGGTGCTTCCTGGTGTATGACAGGTTGACACCCGCATTTATACAGTGCCTTTCATCCAGAAGGATCTCCAAGCACTTTACTAGCCAACACACAAACTCCAGGTTGGGCTGCAGCTGGGGCAGGTAACCCAGCATGGCGGGATGCTGGGGGTTCTCCCACCTGTTCCCATGCTGCTGGGGAGTTCCCTTCCACAGCACCCTTCCAGCACCTGGGAGGACCCTCACAATCTGAGCCTGTGCTGAAGGAGAAGCAAAGATAAGCTGAACTGAGAGGAAGACCTGAGCAAAGCAGAGATGAGGGCAGTCCTCATACCATCTCTCCAGGGAGTAGGAAGGGAGTGATGAGCACCAAATTAACCTTCCAGAACAATCGCTGCTTTTTCTGTTCATGATGATGGCAGTGAGGTCCCTGCAGTGGAGGAGCTCCCTGGGAGGAGACCCCTGGTCCGCGCCAGGCTCAGGAGCTGATGGTGCCTGCAACTGAGCCCTCTTGGTCAGCAGTCTTGGCAAGTCTCCCCTCACAAGTGCATTTTCCCCCGCTTTCTTAGCAGGAGAGCAGGAGAGATCCATCTGGGGTACATGCTTCAGAAGCAGCCTTCCCCAAACACCCTGTTCTCTCCCTGGGTCTGCCCTCCAGCCCAGCTAACATGAGGGATGATGTGGGGCACAGGACTTAGGCATGATAATTGTGCTTTGGTCTGGGCAACTGCTCTTTAATGAGACTCAGCTCTAACCCTAAGGGTTCTTTATATGGCAGAGCAATGGGGACACCTCTCTCTGCATGGACAGGATCAGCAGAGAAGCCACCATTTCATACTGCACAGAACAGAAAGAGAACATATACATATGTCTATATATATAAAAAATTTTCATTGCCATTGTCCCAGACAGCTGGACCCAGGAATGTTCCTGTAGACTGTGCCACTTTCTTGCAGCTCATCCTCAACACTGCCGGCCATGGCAGGTTCCCTGCCTACTGCAGCCCCATGGCCCATCAGCCAGCAACTATTCACCGTGTTCAGCTCCAGGGACAATTTTTTGGGAACAGCTGTTTTATGGCATACTCATATGCACTCACAGAGTCCTGTCAGGAATTAAGCCCTCTGTATCCATAGAAATTGCTAACTTTATCTCTGAAATGCAGCTACCTCAATGGCGTAATATTGTAGCTGTTTAACTAGATGATAGGCTGTTCAGGACAGCAAGTATAAAACCAAAATTGAGATGGAACATTGCCCAAAAGAAAATTTGGCCAGCATATTTAGGCTGATTCAGCTCCTCTTAATGAAATAAAATTCCAATAGCTGCAAGAGGCCATGTCATTCATAACTGAATGTCTTTTCCAACATAAATGATTCTATGATTTTATATCAAAAAAATGTATTCCAGATGTCTTCTCATTAAATGCATATCGCTTCTCTTAAAAGACGATTGCAGAAGAAGACTTCATGTTCACAGATCTGCCTTTCCACACTCAGCTTTTCTCCCATTATCTGTCATTACTGAAAAAGAACTGGACTTTTGAAGTCAGATTATAGATAAGGTAAATTCATAGGTCTACAAGGCTTGCTTTTTGACTGAGCAAACAGAACAGTTTTCATCAGTTGGCAGTTTAATTCTATATTTTATTAAGGCCAAATTGTTATTTTTCTAAGTTGGTTTTGTTGGACAGGATTTTTTACTTCTCTAGGTACAAAACCACAAATATTTTCACCTAAGCTTAAATGAGGGGGAGGCTTATTTGGATATATGGTCATCATTTACCAACACAGCCTGTTAGTGAGGAATTTTATTCTCCTTCCTTTGCCATTCTTCCATTTCCCATTCCTAAAGCTCAACTGTCATACAAATTTCTTATTTGTGAGACGGATTACTGCAGATCTTAGGGCGAAGTTCTGTTCCCACTTGTATTAGAATCAAAGCTAAGAAACTGAAACCCGAAAGAAATGTCAGATCTGAATCAGTATAATTCAGATCAATATCTGACTCAGCAAGACCTGCTGAGGTAGGAAGGACTCATCAGTTGAGTTAGTGGGTGCATCATTTCTTTGCACGATCTCGTTCTTCCTTTCTCGTAGATCGCAATCAAGCAGAGGGTTTGGTAGTAGGTTCAAGTGTCTGCAGGCGGTCCTCACAAAGAAATGCTAGCTTTGTTTATAATTACCCATGGAATCCACATGCTCATATCCATGCTTTGATTTACCCCTTTGGAGGTTTAACAGTATGACCATCTTGTGTTAAAAGGGCTCAGCATGTATGTAATGTTTAGTTCAATTTATATATTCATTTCCTGACTGAAGAAAAATTCCCTTTCAAGTAGCCTGGCTTATATGCTCTAGAACTGTTCTTTCCTGAAGAAAAGCCACTATGGCTGTGCAGGATTTTCTGTACAGAGACAAAACTCATACTTTCATTTACCAAGTGACATGCCAAAATAATCAAGTGTGGCCTAAGGACTAAATTAAATGCCTCCTATAGAATTTCAAGGAATGTTAGAACCAGGAAACTAGCTGTTTAGTTATCATTAAAAGTATATATAAATATATATAAATATATATATACATAAGAAATCGTATCAACAATGAGGATGAACTGAGTGCCAAATATTCACCATCTGTATAAAGCTACACTTCACTAGAATTAAACTATTTTATGTAATTCTCTTTCTCATGCTTTTATGGTTCTTTTGATAAATTCTATTTAGTAGCATGCAGGATACCTAAATTGAATGTACAGTATGTTGTTTCAT